AAACTCTTCTAGAACACGGCCACACAGCCCGAAAAAAACCCACAAAAAGACCCAGGATAAACCAAGATAAAATTCTACATGCTTTGAACATGTTTCAAATTCATTCACATCATTTGAGTCCTGACAGGTGTGAGCAACAGAACATGCAGAGATGCAAAAAGATGCGGTTCCATAGTGTGAACAACAAAACCGGAATGCATGAGTGAGATTATCTGCACATTTGCATTAAAAACAACAACATGTGAATGACTCCTCAGTTAATGAAATGGATGTGTTACCAGGCATTCCTTCTTTATCAGAAAATTTGCTCCCAGTTCCTACGCCCCAAAAAGAAGAGTAATTCTGACATGTTTGAGCAATTTTTTAAATCCAAAATTAACAAAATGCATGTCTGAAATGAAACTAACAGGCCAGGCAAGCCATGCATGAGTAAACAAAAACATTTGTACCGACTAGTGACTACCTGAAAGCACCTTCCAGAATGCATTGGGTTTTACTTTTTGTTTGACCAGCCTCCACTTTGCTTATGATTTCCATTTTGGTGGCCAAACTTCCTGATCTATGCATTTTTAAAACATGCTGATGAGGCAGACTTCTCTCCCCTCTTCTCTGTTTTGCTGTTCATGCATCCTTAATAAGAGATTCAGGAGGCAGTTGCTCTTCACCTTGTCTGTTGTAAGCAGGCACACACACAGCTACATAGGATCAGCTAGAGTATTCATTCTTTCCCAGCTCAAGCTTTATTGCATTGTTTACTGCAAACACATTTCTCCATGCTCACGGCCAAAGGCTGTATTCCTCCAGCCTTCCTCTGCCTGCTAGTATCTATGCTGCTAAAAGACTTGCAGCTAAACAGAGGACAAGGAATACAAATTTGGGACTGAATGAGATGAAAAGACTTTGTAAAAAAGAGCTTCTTTATCAGAGGATTTGTTAACTGAGGTATGCCTTTATCCTGATCTTGGATAAGAGGTTTGGTACCCACTGGTCAATGAAAGGAAGGCAACAGGTCCAGAACCCTGATTAAGCCCTGAGGGCCATGACCACAACTGCAAGCTAAATAATAATAACAATAAAATTTATTTATATGCCGCCCCTCTGCATAGAAATCGGGGCGGCTTCCAACATAAAATGCAATACAATAAATAAATGAAATACCAAAGACCGCCTTCTTTCTGCCTCAGCTATTTGAGGCTGCATCTGTATTGCAGAAATATTTGACACAGCTTTAATTGCCATGGCTCCATGCTATGGAATTCTGGGAGTTGTAGTTTTGTGAGATGTTTAGCCTTCCCTCTCAGAGCACTCTGGTGGCACAACAAACTACAATTCCCAGAACCCCACATCACCGAGCCATGGCAGTTAATGTCGGGTCAAACTGGATTATTTCTGCAGTGTGGATGCAGCTCTATACGCCTGCCTGAGGAAGTAGGTAGTTAGAGTGCAAGTGCTGTCAGTGAGTCCAGTCCAGGTCAGTCATATGTTATGTCAGCAAGATGAAGGGAAAAGCTCAAGGGTGGGATCTGGAAGTTGTTGCAGCAGGTCCATAGGCCAGCTATGTGAAGCCAGCAAAGCGTAGCCAGTCCAAAGTCATAAAGACAAGGATGGTAGAGAGTACTATCAGTCAACAAGATGGTTGTCAGCACCAAAGCTGCCTAGGAACTGCTGGGATATTTATGAGTGGCTTGTTCAAGGCCACAGATGTCCAATTAGGCTGTCATTGGGACCAACATTTCTCTCTTCATGGCTCAACAAAGAATGGAGATGTGTCATCTTTTGTATCTTCAGCCTCTGCCATCTCCTTCTGGAAAGCAGGGTCCCCCATGGCCTCAGCCCCCAGCTCCTCAGACTCAGACAGTGCTCCATTATCAGGAGCTGCAAATTTATGGCAATTTGCCTCCTCCTCCTCCTTGTCTCAGACCCCAAGCAGTGATTTGTGACATAAACCAAAAAGAACTTATTTAAAAAGCTGAAATGGGTGGGACAATCTGTACACATGTCAGGGTGTGGGGGAGAAGGAAGGAGGGAGCGATTATCAAAATCCACTGGTAAATCTAAGTTCTGTCTCAGACAGTGGAGTAGGAAGAGCAGTAACTGCCACCTGCTCAGTATATATTTTTATATTCTCCTGGAATTTCAGATGCACTTATGACAAATATGAATCATGTCACTTTGGCATTCAAAAGAAATTAAAATATATCACTATTGTGGTACTTCATGTGTGAAAAACTGGGGGGGGGGGGTATTAGTTTTCAACATTATGGATAAACTGTTGCCAGGATTTTGAATGGACTTGACAGGCAATAATTGTTTCTAGTGCCTGTTAAAGCTCAGCTTTATCGCTCTTCTCTTCATCATTGTCCGATTAATTCATTTTACAGAGAAACAATGGTGAGCAGGGTGCGTTTCTGTGCTCATAACACCTAACTCTGCCTGGCCCATGAAATTGGCATTGGATGCCAACACAAAACCCAACATTGTTACATTCTGAAAGAGGCAACTCTCTAGTTCTCTACGTTATCGTCAGTTTTCAGAATAAATAATTCTGTGAAACAGTTTAAAGAAGGGTTTCCTTACTGAACATAAAAATTGAAAAAGTAACTACTGATTATCCAGCAATCCTATTTGTGGAATCTTGATTATTATAGTCTTTGTTGTTGTTGTTGTTGTGTGTCTTCAAGTCATTTCCACCCTAAGGTGAACCTATAATATGGTTTTCTTGGCAACATTTGTTCAGAGGCAGTTTGCTATTGCCTTCCCTGAGGTTGAGAGCAAGTGACTTGCCCAAAGTCACCCAGTGGGTTTCATGGCCAAGTAAGGAATCAAATCCTGGTCTCCAGAGTCTTAGTCTAACACTTAAACCACTATGCTAAGCTGGCTCTCTAGTCTTCCTTGTCTACTTATTACTCTTTTTATGTTCTTTACCTCATTGTTATGTAAAGTGATGGTCTAGCTTATGAGCCATCAGTTGCTGCTCCACAGCAAGTTTCTTGCCATGTTTTACATAGTGCAGGTGCCACGTCTAGCACTACATCAGTAAATATTGGCATAATATGCATGTACTGTACAAGCATTTGAAATACTGGTAATATGACTGCTAGCTGCATATGAGCATGCATCACAGACAATACCATTATGTTTCCATGCCCAATAAATATATCACATCCCATAAATGTATGGAACATGGAAAGAACATGTAATTTATCACACCAAGTCAAATGGATGTTGCTTAGAAGAGCTTAATTTTCCAATGCTGGGCTAAAATATTAAAACTTTCCCATTGAAGTTCACACTGTGATTTATAGTAGCAAGTGGGGCATATGAGGTAGAGGGCAATGCAATAGTTGGTAGAGCTAAGGGTAGTCACAGGAGACAAAGCCAACCAGACACAAGTTCTCTCTTCACTTTTCTTTTAGGCAATGCTAGGCACATTAAATTTACTTTTTCAGTTATTTCTTCAGAAACCCAGGTTTCTTTCACTAGTGCACGGTAAAATCACAGTTTGTAAACAACATATAAATCCAAATATAACCTTCCTTGGAAGTCTACCACCATGTACTGTATTTTCTGTTTTATTTTCTATTTCTCATGTGGCAGAAAGATGCGCTAGGATCTTTTGGCTATGATTATTGCTTGAATAAAATCCAATATATATATCAAACAGCAAAATCTGATGTACTATAGTGCACATAATACAGTTCTTGTTCCAGAACTAGTGAATGAGATAACACACATCAACTCGCATACCTCCATAAAATAATAATAAAAAATTTAAAAAAGATTTGTGGCTTCAGAATTTCTTAAAAATGTGATCACTTCAGTCAATACAAAATTTTCTCAACTGATTCTTAAGAACTATTTCTAATCCCTCTCATTCTTGGATGGTAGGTAACACAGTCAAGTTTGGGATATGCCTAAATGTTATTTTCAAACATACAGTTCCAGTCTTGCACCTCTCAACATAAAATGAACACAGATACCACAAAGCATGTACAAAGGGGGATGAGAAGATGAGACTTTAAGGAACCATTGTTTATTTTATAACCAACTTTTCTTTTATATGGGGACTTAAAGCAGCTTACACCATAGGTTAAAATAATACAGCAAAAAAGACTGAAATACAAAAATCAAAAAGGATTAAATACAAACTACTTTTGAAAAAATCTTTTTTAAAATAGTTAAAAACACACATTAAGAGCCAGAATACCTACTGCACGATGCCCCAGACCCATCAATATTACATATTTCCCAACCTTGCTGGAACCCCTGTATTTGGCAATTTAACACTTCCCTTATTTATAATAGTTCCACTCCAAATAATAATTTAGATTTCTGATTCCCAGACCAAAGTGTTGTATTTATTTAAACCTTGCTCTCTCCAATTGTTATCGCTGTTCTCCTGCATAACCACAAAACCCATGAACTTCACACTTAAAATTGTTTCGTCACTACCCTGGTAATTTAAAGCAGAGATCCTTTCAGGTATGGGCATGGCATCATGTCTTCCTTGCTTTGTTGTAATGACAGGTACAGGTCATTTGCAAGCGCTTATGTTCTTCTATTGTGATTAACATCTGGTCAATAACTTGACTAGAAGTAATACAATACGAAACAAAACTCATTTGAGATAGTTTATGTGGGAGGCATCTGTCAACTAACTTGGCACAAATAGCTTCCCACTTTGAGAGCGCAAGACACAAATGCAAGATCAGCCTCCCTTTTTAATTACAGTCTTGACAGTTTTTGTTTTCAGCAAACTGAGTGCTGTGCAGTACCAAGCATGTGATTTTATATAAAATTGATCCAGGAGAGCTTTCTAGAAATGCAACACAAGGAGGCATGCCTTGTTGAAGGACAAAAATTGCTTTCCTGTTTAGTTCAGCACCACGTTGCTGCATTTAACCACTCAGACACCACTGGACAACAGGAAGAAGGGAAACCTCAAAGACAACAGAAACATCCTGTAATTTGTGGAAGTTAGTCTGCAGGGTAAGCATAGATTGGCTTGTTCTAGTACAAAACACTACACAATTCTCCTCTATCAAACAGCTATCAGAATAGCAGTAATTAAAGCACATGTCATTCACAAGGCCAGAGGGTTTCAATCATGCACGTCAACAGCTTTCCCAGACTTGGAAAAAAGACAGTTGTTTCTCCCAGGAAAAAAGAAAAGAGAAGAATGGAACCTAAACGAATAATTTTAGCAAAACAATCCCGACTTGGGCCCATCACAGAATATGCCTCGACAAACATATATATATCTGTGCAGCAGCTAAAGAACAACACTCCAAACTGAAGTATCTGGCATGGTAGTACAGCCAGCCTTCCATATCCACCGGCTTTTTAATCCACAGATTCAAGTATCCACTGTTTGAGAATATTCCAAAAAGATATAAATTCCAAAAAGCAAAGCTTGATTTTACCATTTTATATAAGGGATACCATCTTACTATGCCACTGTATTTAATGGGACTTTAGCATCTGGCATCCACAGGGAATTCTGGAACCAAACTCCAGTAGGTACCAATGACCTACAGTATCATGGTAAGTGAGATATAGTGTACCAAACTCCTTGAAAGCTGGAACACCTCTCTCCACTATTCTCTAAAGCCTATACCTGCCCGAAAGACAGAAGGAATAAAAAGTGAATTTGATTGACTGTCTTTGATGCATTCCATATATGGGACACTGCTAGCAAGATTTGCTAGTTTTCCCCTGCCAAATAATCTCCAGTTGTTTTGGATTTCAACTCCCAGCAGCCCCAACCAACATGACTAATAGTTACAGTTCCCAGGTGGTGTAGTGGAAAACTCTGATGCATAACAAGTAGATGTGAAGGCCCAGAAAGAAATAAGAAAAACCTGGGGGAGGATGCTTTCCCCCCATTTCCCACAAAGCCTTATTTTTCTGGGGGAGATGACTGATTCTGGAATAGAATGAAGAATAAAATGTTTAAAAATGAAGTGTTTATATATTTCTGTAGTAGACAGACTTTTATGTATGATTCTATAGCTGCGGTATTCCAAGTGGTAATCCACAGACCAGTGCCATTGACTGCTAGTTTCCTGGAAAGAAACAGTCGTTACTAATGGCACAAATATGTTCTGGCATATTATTTAAAAATACCAGTTCCTCCACATCAGATACTTTTGAGAAAAGCTAATGTATCATATCAGTTCATTGTAATTCCTGGTCCTGGTTTATTTTTCTCTGTTCTTTTAATGGACATGAGTGCTTTATGTCTGCTTGAAAATTCTGAGGACCAGAGGAAACAAATAATCTCCCCTGTTTTATTAATGCTGATTATTTCTTCTGTTCTTACTTGTTGGGTGTAGGTTGTATTTTTGCTTTATTCTTATAAAGTGGTAAAACCAATGAAGTCCCTTACAGTTCAGGATCTTGTAGATCCATTTGTAAGGGGAAAAAATAAATTTTAAGAGTCAATTTTACTTGCAATTATTTTAAAATAAACTGTAATTTTATTATTAAATCTTTATTAAACAATAATAGAACAAAATGAAATCAGCAATACAAAACATACAAACTATTTTTTCTATATCTAAAATATTTAGAGAAATACAATACAATAATAATATGATACTTCATTACTAACTATAAACCTGAAACTATTTATCAATAAAACAAAAACAAATATATTACAAAGGGAAACAGTGGCTTCCAGCATACTTGACTGTGGTTCAAACATAATTACTGATCTCATCGCTCCCCAATCTATTTAAAATATGTATCTAATACTTAAAATTACCACAAAATAATTCTATTAGTAATGAAAATAAAACTAAATATATTAATAATAAAATTTAATAAAACCTCTACCAATACATTCATCATTTTTTAAAAATGCATTCACAATCCAAAAAACTAAAGTCATAACAAAACCTTGCTCATTCTTCATATAATCAAATTAGCATCTTCCGCTCTTTCTTAAAACAATCCAAAACTTCTCATGACTCTATAAATTGTATTTTAAAATATATTACACGTGATAATTTGATGCCAAACCAAGTTATACATAACACATTGTGTTCCTACGGTAGAAAAAGAAACTGCAAATCTGTAAAGGGTGCTAATTTTGCAATTCCCCCCAATTTTTCCAAACCATTCTACTTTTTTTCCTGAAAAAGGAGGGAAAAAGTGTGTGTGTGCATGTGTGTGTGTGTCCTGGCTTCACAAATTTCAGAAATTTTGTAGAAGACTGGTTTAAATGCTCCAGCTGGACAGCTGTTAGTCTGAACTTCCATAATAAATTTCTCTAGGCTCCCAGGAACATCTCACAGTACTGTTTTAAACCTGCAAAGCTCAATGTCTTACAAATTAAAAGAATTTCATGGGTTTGTTGTGAGGGCAAGACGTGTTAACTTCATACAAAACTTTCCAGTAGGGCACATTAGACAGAGAGACAAATCAATGGCTAGGGCCTTGACTACACCAGGGAATATCCACAGTCCCTAACACTAGAAAATGCAATATTCTCTTTCCATAAACAGCATTTGTATGGCCAGGTCACACTTAATTTTTGAATTCTGGTATAAAGAATACTGGGCATGGAAAAAATAGTTAATTTTTTTCTCGTCCTCAACAAGGAAGGGTATCTTGACATGTTACAAGAGTTTTTACACATTCCTCCCTCCTTTTAAACACGTCATGGGGGGGGGGGGGGGGCAAAAAATGTGGAGAAACACTGCATCCATTCCTGCAATTAAAAAAAAGTCATTATTAGCCCAAAACACATTATTTGTATGGAAACTATATTATTGAACAAAATTATGGAGTGTGCTAACGTTGCACTGCACAAAACCTTTTTTTAAAACTCAAATTAAATTTTCATAAATCCTGAAATGTGCATGGAAACAATCAA